TGAGCAGGGAGCCCGATGTGGGACTCGATCCCAGGACTCCAGGATCATGACCTGAGCCGAAGGCAGTCGCTTAACCAACTGAGCCACCCAGGCGCCCCAAGGAGATTTTGTTCTAACCAGGCTTAATTTAACCACATGTAATTAGGTGTTCGTTGCATATGCATGTTTTTCATTGTTGAAGTTTACCCCAAATTTGTAGTTTTAAGCATTTTTATGTGTTATCAATAATTTGAGATTTTAAATTTTCTTTTAGCAGAATATTTATGTACCATAAATAGAGATTTTCATAAATGAAATTCTAAAAAGCAGCAAAACTTAAAATCCTGCTTTCAGGTTTGTACTTTAGAAGTTTGATTTTTATTTTTTAAACAGGTTTTTAAATATATCCTCTTTAGGTATATAGAAGAGAAGTAGAAGAAAACGGAATTGTTCTGGATCCTTTGAAAGCTACCCATGCAGTGAAAGGTGTTACAGGACATGAGGTCTGCAATTACTTCTGGAATGTTGATGTTCGCAATGATTGGGAAAGTAAGCTGCCATTATTAATATATCCTAATATAATTATTATTTTGAATTTATTTTGAATAAACCCAGTGTTTGCATCTCGTCTACAGTTTATAAAGTTAGTGTAGAAAATATCTGGAAAATCTGATAATAGCTTGCATTTACTTTTTTTTTTTAACTTACATTTAAATAGAGCTTTACAGTGAAATAGAGCTTGTACAGTGAAAACACTGTACAAAATGCTTCTAACTATATTATAGCATTTGATCCAGTACTTCAATAATCCTGCATGATAGGTAGGTAAAAAAGTAAAATTCAGATAGGTTAAGTGACTTGTCGGAAGCCACAGAGCCTAATTAGTAGAAGGGCCAGGACTAAAATGAAAGGTTTCTGTTTTATCATCTACTTTCCCAGACTGTTTTGTTTCCTTAATAAACCCTAGACAAGTCCTGCTGTGATCTGTTTAGAGTTATTCTTGGGGTATGTGTGTTGTGTGTGTGTTGTTTGTGTGTGTGTGTGTGTGTGTGTGTTTCCTCTTAGGCACCAAATTTCATAAATACAGGTAGTTTTGAACATCTTAAGATGTTTATCAATGACAGTTTGACATTCTTTTTTCACAAATATAGTCACCTAAGCCTTATATAGAACAGTTTATTCAGCTTCTGTAAATTAGAGATTACAGGAAACAGTCATAGTATTAGATAGGAATTTGTGTTTTGAATAATGCAATGTGATTAGAATTGCTTTCTTGTTGTGGAAGCTAGATATTGGGCCAAAGAAGTGAGATTTCCTGGTGATCAGGTCTCATGGCCACTGTCTGTAGCCCTAATATGAAGTATTAACTCCCTTCCCTTTGGACTTAGCCAAGATAGGGCAGAATCCTGCTCATGTTATCATAGTGTCCATCAGTATAACTGAAGTTAATCACATTCTAGGAAGAGGTAATATATCTTTTTGGCTACTAATGTTTTCTCTTCATTTCAGCAACTATAGAAAACTTTCATGTGGTGGAAACATTAGCTGATAATGCAATCATCATTTATCAAACGCACAAGGTAAAGATCTCTTCATCCCAAAAGGATTTCACTGTAGTTCAAACTGAGACATAAGAAATTCTCTAAAGTGGGGCGCCTGGGTGGCTCAGTCGTTAGGCGTCTGCCTTCGGCTCAGGTCGTGATCCCGGCGTCCTGGGATCGGGCCCCACATCGGGCTCCCTGCTCTGCGGGAGGCCTGCTTCTCCCTCTCCCCCTCCCCCTGCTTGTGTTCCCTCTTGCTGTGTCTCTCTCTGTCAAATAAATAAATAAAATCTTTAAAAAAAAAAAAAAGAAAGAAATTCTCTGAAGTAAAATTTGGTAGGAAATTAAATGCCATAAAAGATCCAAAGACTTTTTTAATGATGCAAGAATGTCACCTATTTGAAAGGATATCAGCTCCTTTAAAGAGAACCTGAGACAAGAACCTGAGAAATATCCAGGAACAGTGTGTTTGATAAAGATCATCAGCTAGTTATGTGCCCTTAAAGTTTAGGAAATACTGATACTCTGCTAAATGTTTTTGTAGCATCTAATATTTATAGGAGATGAGTGATTGTTACCAAATACAAAAGTGAATCATAGTTTCCTGTGACCATAGTAATGAGGGGAATGGAAAGTATGTTATTAATATATGTTAAGACTGGTAGATAATGAAAGTCATCTAAGTGGATTATCTGAAAGCAAGTGAAAATTGCTAAGCATAACTATTAAGGAATTGGTCATATATCAGAGAATACAGAAACGTTGTCATTTAAATTAGTTCACCTTTCATTTCACTTTTACTTCATCTCTTCCTCTGCTATTCTAGATGTTCAAAATGGAAAAATTAGTATTTCTCTTACCTTATTCTGCTCTGTTCCCTGAAAATTGCCAAATAATATATTGTGTAAAGAACAATAAACAGGTGTGGTACATGGGAGAATGAGCAAAATAAATGAAGGGAATTAAGAGGTACAAACTTCTGGTTATAAAATAAATAAATCACAGAGATGAAAAGTACAGCATAGGGAATGTAGTCAGTAATACTGTAATAAGGTTACAGTAACAGATGGTGACTACACTTATTGTGGTGAGCACTGAGTAATGTATAAAATTGTCAAATTCAATATGTTGTACACCTGAAACTAATATAACATTCAATTTTAAAAAGGAACTATAATTTTGGAAAGATCCATTCAGCGTAATATTGTAGGTTATATAAGAAACACAGTAATTCAGTAGGTACTTCATTTTTCTCTTCTTTATTTAAAGCTTTTTAATTGAGCTGAATATATGACAATATTGTGGGTTCTGTATTTCTTGAACTCAGTTTTGTCATGGGAGGCATCTTGTATGTAATGATTTTGAGCTGGGCTTGATTTTACATGGTAGCTGCTCAAGAAATGTATAAAAAATAAATTATAGGTCAACTTTGCTTCAATTAAAAAAGTGTGTAACAATGAAGATTCTGCTTCAGCGTACAGATTTGGGGAGTCTAAGGGAAACTTAAAATTCAATAAATGTTAAAAATACCAATTAATTGCCTTATAATTTAGAATGAATAGAAATGACCAATAATTTAGAGTCAGAAAAATCCTACAATCTGAAGATAATAGATCTTGGCAAACAATCTGCTGGCAGTATTTCACTTCATAAAAAACCATCAAAAAGGATTTATATAGGTTGTATTACGATCATTTTTTGAAAAATAAAGCTAAAAACTATTAAAATAATGTCACTTAAATGTAATAAAATTTAAGTTAGAGTTATAAGTGTTTGAATAATTCAAACAAATTGTCCTGGCATAATTTTTTTTCAACAAAATTCAGTAATGCTATACAACTTTCCCTTTAAATTTGGCTTATTTTATAATCTCATCTTGAAGAGGGCTACTTTTCTCCTGATACTTAAGTCATTCTCATTCTTTAAATTTTCATCTTATTGTCATCCTTGTGGATTTGCATTCATTAGTTCTAACACAGCCAAATTTTCCTTTATTTTTGACTTCACATAGATTTGCTCAGCCTGCTTTCTTCTATTTTTGAAATTTAGCATCTTTAAAACATGAACCATTTCACTTTCTGAATGATTTGTGTTGTATTGACACTGTTGTTGGCTATTTATTATACTCAACAATTAGGAAAGGCATTGCACATATTTTCTCTCATTAAAAGTACATAGTCTCACTTTTCATAGACCTTGTTGCCATATCATTTCAACATGATATGTTTCCTTACATACCATAAAGTTGAAAGATTCAATCTAATTGATTTGGTATTCTTCAGATGTGATTGTGGTATAAAAAGGAGCAGTCTTCTTACACTGAAATCTTAGCTTTTAAGTCTCTGAACACTTTAAACAGAGGTTTAATACTGTACTTAGAAGCAGAACATTACCAGGGACTTGGGGAGGGGGAAATGGGAAACTAATTGTTTGCTGAGTACAAAGTTTCTATTCGGGATGATAAAAAATTTTGGAAATAGTGGTGATGTTTACATAATATTATGAATGTAATGCACTGAATTGTACACTTAAAAATGCTTTAAATGGCAAAAATTTTGTTATATATAAACATATATGTATACATTTATAACATATATACATATAAACATACACAGTTTAAAAATTTTTTAAAAATAGATTATTCCTTTGATGCTGTTATTCTGCAAAGCCATTAATTCATTGTTCATAATTCTTGGCTGGGTACTTTCAGATGCTTTCCATTTAAAATTTGACAGATTTTACCTTTGCCTAAGATATTTATTGGTTTTACATTTGTTTCTCTGTTAGTTCCATATTACATATGAATTTAAAAGTGGTTTATATTTTCAAAAGATATTTTACTTCTTCCACAGAGAGTGTGGCCTGCTTCTCAGCGAGATGTATTATATCTTTCTGCCATTCGAAAGATCCCAGCCTTGACTGAAAATGACCCTGAAACCTGGATAGTGTGTAATTTTTCTGTGGATCATGACAGTGCTCCTGTAAGTGCACTTGTATAAATGTGTATAGTCGTACAGTATAAAGCTAAACAGTGCAGAACAAGAGTGATAAGCACATACGACACACATTTCTTAGATTTTGTTTTATGTCCGATTGGCTCCTTGGAACAGTATAGCCCGTGTGTTACCCAAGGGCAGCAGTGATGGCTGTGAACACCCAGCAGGGACTGTTTTCCTTTCCTCCTGAGGTTAGACGACACAGAACTGAAGAGGTAGATAGTGGAAGGCTGCTTCCACAGTTCTCTCTCAAGCCATGATCAACTGCTAGCAAAACCTCTGGGTTTCTACCTCAGTTTAGGTCCATCTACTACTTAAGAGGGGAGAAAATTATTCCTGCTGTCATAGCAGCTTGGCATGTGTTATCTATTGGTCCTTATAAGATTTGGTTGGAGAGGTTGGTGATGAGCTGTGGTTTTGGATAACCTAATGTACTATTAGACCAGTAGGGATTATAAAATACTAGGCATCTCCTATACTGATGTTTCGTTTCTGTTATTTGTTTTGGCAGCTGAACAATCGATGTGTCCGTGCCAAGATAAATATTGCTATGATTTGTCAGACCTTGGTAAGCCCACCAGAGGGGAACCAGGAGATCAGCAGGGACAATATCCTATGCAAGATTACATATGTAGCTAATGGTATGTATTTGGGGGTTCTTTTTGCAACTTGGTCATACAGATTTTCTTTTTCCTTTTTCTTTTCTTTTTTTTTTTACTATTTTTTTTTTAAAGATTTTATTTATTTATTTGATAGAGACAGCGAGAGAGGGAACACAAGCAGGGGGAGTGGGAGAGGGAGAAGCACGCTTCCCGCTGAGCAGGGAGCCCAACTCAGGGCTTGATCCCAGGACCCCAGGATGATGACCCGAGCCGAAGGCAGACGCTTAACAACTGAGCCACCCAGGCACCCCTTTACACAGTTTCTTTATGATCACAATAAAAATCTATGTACAAACCGTTCTGTTTTGCCTGGGCCATGGAGAAAATAAAATTTGGGTGTTTAGGTATGAATAAGACATAATTAGTTGATGGCTCTCTATTTGGATATTTCTCTTTATTTTTTAATATACTAAATATTGTACCCAGATGTCACTTTGTTCCCCTTTTTCATCTATCCCCCACTTCTTGTCCTTTCTCTCATTGCATCCTGTTTCAATATTTGGAGATGGGTCTGCTAATCTTGTTCACATCCTTAAACACAAGAGACAGAGAATAAGAGCAAGGAATAGGATTTAGAGATGGATTCAAAACAGCAGCTGCATTGAATTTTGGAATACCTTATGCCCAAGGCACTATGCTAAAGATAAAGAGATTTTTAATAAGACTCTCTCCAAGCTGAAACTTTCGTTGGGAAAGGAGGATATTGACATTATTTGTTTCTGTCTGATAATGTATTCAACGAAGAGCACAGATAAGTAGTGGAGAAAATTGGAAAAGAAAGATCTCTGTGATTTGAAACAGATTGTTTTATACTGAGGAGAAGCATTTGAACTATGTCTGGAAATGGAAGCAAGATTGTGACAAAGGTGAGGCAAGGATATTTTAGATAAAAAGTATAAACACAAGCGAAAACTTGAAAGCGAACTTCTTATTCAGGAGTTTTGCATAGACTGTGTTGACCAGAATTATTCTAGCAGTAGAGATACAATATCAGATGTTGGAATTTATTTTCCTCCTGAATAGGGAACTAATTAAGAAATAAGAAATAAGCAGATGAAATGCTAAAATATTAGCTATATATCTAATAAGCTGATTGGAGAATATAACTTCAGAGTAGCAGTGGCAAGGTCTTGCTAATATGTTACCTGAGAATTAAACATAATGTTTCTGACATAGCTAGATAATCACAGGCCTTCCCCACAAGAGTAAGCCCCAGAAGAAAACCAAGACACATGCTCTCTTTAAAAAAAAGGGGTGAGCCATGCCTTCCAGTCCTTATTCTATACTCAACATTCCGATAAATCATTGTTGCCTCCCGAGGGAAGAGAAAGTGAAGGGATGAAGAGAAACCAGGAGTGATAGTCTAGATAAAGTCCCTCCATGTGGAATGAGAAGTAGAGACTAAGTGTTCCTACAGCCCATATCCTTAGAGAGGGATTGGATTATGGAGAGTATAAAATAGCCCACCAAGGAGAATAGTCTGTTGTCTGTAGCAATAGGTTAGCCACTGTGTGCAAAGTAACATTTTAGGAAGACGAAGCTGATAAGGAAGAAACTAGAGACCAAGTATACCACTTAAGAGAATCAAGTACATGGGGATGAAAGCCTACCTAAAAGAAGTAACCAGTAGTATAAAAGTCAAGCTGTTGGATGTCTTACAGAATTTTAGTGACGAGCTTAAGAACTATGTGAAGTGTGAGGGGAGGAGTTAAAAGTCTAAAGTTTCCAATTTGGGTGACTGGGAAAATAGCAGTCCCAATAACATGAATAAATAAGCATGTAGGGAAAAGTAGTTTGGTGAGAGAGATTTTAAGAGAGAAACTATATGTGAAATGCCTAACAGTGTCTGGACCCATAAAGCACTCCATAAATTGAGAGCTGGTTCTTCCTGTAGTAACATGATTACTCATTTCTCAAAAGAACTTAATACAAAACTCCCTAAAGTAACAAACCTATAATTTTGAGCTAATTAATTTTACTTAGCACTTTAGGTACACAACTTCAGTATTTAAAAGAAGATATATTGAATGGAGCACTGGGTGTTATACGCAAACAATGAATCATGGAACACTACATCAAAAACTAATGATGTAG